ACGTCAGCAGCCACGTTTCAACTAACAGAAGATTTGATATAAAAGTTTAATGTAAAAAGATCCTCGTTGGAAAAGTTTGAGCTTGAGGAATAAGGGGAGTCTCGAGAGATTGAGCTTATAATATTAAATATTTCTTTTAAAAAAGTTTAGGTTAAAAGATTCAAATTGACAGAACCAATGGTAATAAAAAAGTATTAAAATTTTAAAATATTTATAATTTGAGAAAGTAGAGACTTTTTTTGGTAGAGAATGACTTTTTAATAATATAAAAAATATCTTATTTGTAAATATTTATAGAGAAAAATTATTTTATCATATGGGCTAGCAAATAATGAAGAAAAAAAAAATGATATATACAATGGATCTTAAATGAGGTTTAAGAAGTTTCTCTATTTTGTATTGATCTGTCATAATTTTTTAAACCCATACATAAAATGAGAAAAAAATAATCTTATATAAAAAAATAAGTAAATATGATACTTATAAAATAAATTAAAAATATTTTATAATATAAAAAAAATATATAGTTTAAATAATATATCACTACATACAATAAGATTTAAAATTAAGTCATATTTTTTACTATGTATTAAAATAATAATGTAATAAAATACTCTTATATAAGAAAATAAGAGATTTATAAAATGAATTGAAAATATTTAATAATACATTAAAGTGATATATGAGTTTAAGTATTATTTTTTATTATGTATTAAAATAATAATATAATGAAGTAATGATAACAAAAAATAATAATGCAAACAATTTACATAATCCATTAACTAATTACTTTGTATTTTTCCTAATTAGGATTGTAATTATTGCTCTTAAGACACCTTAATTACATTTTCCCTCTAAATAATTTTATTAATTTAAATTAAAAAAATAAATCATTATTATTACCCTCTAAATGCTGAAAGCAAAAGAGCAACCAAACCGGAAGCTAAGAGCAACCACCACCAATCCAAAAAACGAATCATCAACCGTTTGGAGAGCAACTTACCGACGAACATTTTCTCTAATCTTCAAGCAACAGCTTCCTTCACTTCAGATCTTCTTCTTCTTCAACTTGAATCTTCTCTTTCTCTTTCTCTTTCTCTCTCTCCCTTGCTTTTAGGTTTGCTGCTCTCTGTTATTTATCACCGTGTCCTAGAGATCACCGTCTCACACGCTTTGCTTTTTTTTTTTTGTGTGTGTCTTTCACTCTCTTCTGTGGTACCTTCGTTTTCTCTCTTGACTCTCGATCCGTCGGTTAAATTTTCTTTGTTTTGAATTAATATCTGTTGCGCATTTTTGTTGTTTGTTAACTTGTAGTTTGGAACTTGTGTTGGAGGAGCCAACAATGGCGGTTTCTGGCGTGATAACGCCTGGACAGGTACGATCTCGTGATAATATGTTTTTCGGTAAATTTTGATTTACGTGAAGTAATTCGAGTTCTTAAATTAAATTTGTGGAATTCCATTTTTTTTTGTTTGACGTTGGAGCTGTCTTTTTTAGCTTTTGATTGTTCGAGCAGTGTGTCTGAATCTTGATTTTTTTATTCCAATTGCTTTTATTAACTTAAGGAGGATGAATTCACTTTTGTTGTTAACGAGTACCATAGGTGAGTGTTTATGAAGAGGCATTTAGCTGTTTTTTTTTTTACCGTGTAGATACGGCTAAGCTTTCATGAATTTTCCGTGCGCATCTTCCAAGTGAAATTTAATTGTTAAGGAATACAGCTAAATTGTCGGTGGATATTTTCATAAGTTGCCTTGCTATCAATTAATCATCATGCTTTTGTTACTGAGTGAACGTACTGGACAGTTCTAACTGATTGATGGTGGTTAGAGTTACAATGACTATGTAGTTGCCAGCTTTAGCATTTTCTGATTAATGGAGACTAAAGTTTTTCATGCTAGAGGCAGAGACTCTATCTGGTTTGAGAAGTATTAGAAATTTCAGCCATGCAGGTTATGAGACACCATGTCTTTTTACCTTGCTGAATCACTCAAATTAACTTTTATCAAACTTTACGATTTATAATGAACATGGAAAGAGTTTTTCCTTCTAGTTTAGGTAGGAATATTATCACTTATTACTTGAAACTTATTAGCTGAATTGTTTCTCATATCTATGTAACATTTTTTGAAATAATTTCATTTACTTTTTTTTAAAATAATCATATCTATGTAACATTAAACCAAAACTTGATTTTGGATCCTTAAATCTTGACCTATCCTTGTTAATTTCATTCATCCATCCCTGATAAAGATGAAGTTTACTCAAATAAATGGCAAGTCACACAGGGGTACATTATTCCACTCTTTTTAATAATCCATTATAAACTAATAAGTTCCTATCTTGCTCTGTTAGTAGAAGCTTAATTAGTTAGCTGTTACATTTTATGGGCATTATATCATTTGTCGCAGATCTCTCTATGCCATTTTCATTTATAAACATTTCTGCCATGTTACATCACAGGTATCTTTTCTGCTTGGAATAATTCCAGTTTTTATTACATGGATATATTCAGAGATGTTAGAATACAAAAAGGCTTCGTCTCCCTTGAAAGTGTAAGTTTCCTCCACTTGACATTATCACTTAGGCATAGAATGGGCTTACTCCTATTTGTATTTTTTTCTTTGGTGAATAGAAAGAGGGCTCATTCCTATCTCTTACCACTTAATGGTGTCACTTGTTTCTGGATTATGTTTTGCAATAAACAATAAAAGATTGCAGTACTTATGTCTAAGACTTCCCATGGTGCGAGCAAACGAGATAAATACAGAATGACTTTTCTTGGTTTCTAATTGCTATGCCCTTGTACTTGCTATGAGTATTTTTTTCCTTTTCTTTTCTTTCATTCATTCAAAGTGTTGAATTTATTTAGGTACACAACAAGGCTCTTTTATTACTTTTCTGCCATTTGAATTTAATACACATCAGTGGCCATGTCAAACTTGGGAATGGGATGAATTTGTAACAAATGTTCAAAAGATAATCAGATTTAGAGTGCAAGACAACTTATTTTGAGAACAATTTCAATAAGGTGGATCGACAATCTTGCTAATCGGGAGGCATCTAGTTTAAATGAACTATAGTTGAATGATGAATGGGTCTGCTGAAAATTATATCATGTTCTTGTTCGGAAAATGAGAAGTGAACACTCCTTCTAACCAATTAGAAGACCTTTAGTCTGTTAAGGATGTAAATGAAAAAGAAACTTTTTCTTGAAGAAACATAAGTATCATTAGATAGAAAAGAAGAGGAATATATGGGGACTGATCCACCCGGAAAAAAGAACAAAATAAACAGCAAAGAGAAAGAGGCCTGAAAAAGACATACAATTCAGAAAGAAAAGCCAATCAGTTTCTATTTGGAAAGACAAAGGCAAATCCTTAAAATGAGAATGGGCCTTAGACCAAAAAGACGACAACAAAGTCATTTGTTCCCAGAGAAACAGAAAATGAAGAAACATGATCCTTGAAAAATCCTTGCATCTCTAACCAAAATATTCACACCTCAGCAAACATTGCTTCTTCATACAAAAGTCTATCCTCTTTCCTCTTACTAACCCTATGAAGAAAAGAGGTAAAAAAGGTCACAAGTTTTTAGGAAACAGCACAAATGGCCTCAACGGTATCACATAACTGTTTCTACAGCTTCCAAGCAACATCATGGTGCAGAGAAAGGTGACAATGGGGTCAGCATTACTAAAGTACATAACATACTTCAGGACAAAGCATGTTTTGGCCTGGGAACTAATTTTTAGTCTATTAAGAACTGCTGTCCAAACAAACAGCTTTACCTTACAGGTGGCTTAAACTGTCCAAAAGGGTTTGTAAAGACAAGATTCTAAATAGAACAGGGAAAGCAGACAAATTTTGACAGGTAAGTCCATAGACCAATTTCAGTGATTGGCTAGGAGAAAGACAATAGAAAGAGTAAAAAGGATAAGTCTTTCTTTGTTCCCTTACATTGCCCTGGTTTTTTATGCATGATAGAGCGGATGATGTGGTATAAAAAATGGTTTTCTCATGCTTTGAGACTAGTTGAAGCTAAACTCTTGTGGTAATTAAAGTTGTGGGATGAATGCAGACATGTATTGTAAGTTCTGCTTGAAATTAAATTTCAATGGTGCTAATTAGCTAGAAGGAAGCTGTTAAATAAATCAAGAGACATGGTCAGTCATGAAATAGAACTGAAAAGTGTTACGGTGGTATGAATAAACTGTTCAGGAAAGAGGTGAAGAAGGCAGAAAATGGTAGAAAATTTAATTGGATATTTATTAAGCTAGCTTTATGACTTACCTGTCTGTAAGTGATGCATTCCCGTATACATTGTTTACCTGTGTAGATTTGTGTATTTAAGTTTTCCAGATTGTGTTTTTGCTAGGTGGTAAAACTAATTTTTAGTAATACTCATCATTTCTAATACCAAAAAAATGCTAATAAGCTGTTATTATCTTTTCATCTTACTTAAAAGTCAACTAAGTAAAAAGTACATTTAAATTAGAGTAAAAAGGTACTAATTTTAGCATGGATATACCAGTTGTTCTATGCAGCTAATTAGCAGCGGCTTAGAAAACTATGTCAACATTCCACTGATTGACTCAAGCATTTATTTCAATTCTGTGATAATTTTCAAAGTATTAAACTACTACTGAAAGTATGGATATTTTAACTACAATAGTTCTTGTTCTCTTTCACTATATACAGTCACTCAGACAATAATCTGGTTGAATTGGGGGAGGGGACAACTAAAGATGATGACCGGGCTGTTTTGCTTGAAGGAGGTCTGACAAGATCAGCATCAGCAAAGTTTCATGGTTCATCTATCAAAACAAACTTAATTAGGTTTCTTCATATTGAACCTATTTTTTTAACTGTGGTACCATTATGTTCATAATGCTTTTCTTACCTTCTTGAGAACATGATCTTTTAGGTTCTTGACTATGGAAGACTCTTTCTTGCTCGAAAATCGATCAACTTTAAGAGCAATGTAAGTTCTTTTCTTCAGTAGATAATATATATAAATAATTTCTTTTTTCGTTGGCTCTTTGTTCTTCTTATAAATAATTTACAATCTCATTCAGGTCTGAATTTGGGGCAATTTTAATGTACTTCTATATATGTGACCGCACAAATTTGCTAAGAGACTCTACAAAGGTTCTTTGATCTCTATCTTTTTCTTTTTTTAATGCTTATGCATTGATCTATGATTTCCATTTGAACTATTTTTCTTTAACAGAAAAAAGAAGAGATTAATTGGTTATACCAGCAAAGGCCCAAAGTTCCTGTGAAAATCTGGAACCATGTTGATATGAAATTTTCATTTTTGTGATTGCCTTCCATGACCCATCTGTACATTTTGGCGTTATATAACTTATCTGTAGTGATACTTTTGCTTACAAATATTGTTAGTGCATCTAACCATTCTAAGAGCATAAGAATAAACTGGAGAAGGTAAAAAAAGAACACTTTTTATGTGTTTTTAGTTTCTCCTTTTCAAATAAAATTTGAATGCTTATAATGTTAGAAGTTCATCAATACATATGAAATTTATAAACCTTCTTTTTTAATTAAAAAGGAAGGACTTATGTATAGATAGCCTGTTAACTTAAGCTTTTGTAATGAAAGTCTTACATGTGCTTAGCCTTTACCTTATTTTCTTTTTCTCTGCCAGATAAGTGAAAACTCTTCACGTTAATTGAAAGTTATATTTATAGGTGTTATTTCTTTGAACAGAATTACAATCGCGACCTCTTCATCTTCCTCTACAGTCTTCTCATCATAGTATCTGCTATGACTTCTTTGAGAAACACAATGACAGTCACCAATCACTGG